GACCATCCTCCTCACCACCATGGACCACCCTGTCCTCCACCTCATGGGCCAGACCATGACCATCCTCCTCACCACCATGGACCACTCTGTCCCCCTCCTCATGGGCCAGGTCACCACCACCCTCCTCACCACCATGGGCCACCCTGTCCCCCTCCTCATGGGCCAGGTCACCACCATCCTCCTCACCACCATGGACCACCCTGTCCCCCTCCTCATGGACCAGGTCACCATCACCCTCCTCACCACCATGGACCACCCTGTCCCCCTCCTCCAGGACACCCTCCTCATCACCATTACAGACATCATCACAACAAGACAGGCATATCAGGGAAGTACTTTCCATGCCAGGTAACAGGAGCTTTCTATCGCATCCCAGTTCTAAATCAGCAGGATTCTCTCACACCTCCCACTGCAAACTTTTCTAAACTATCCCAATGCAACCTTCATTTTTCCAGCACTGGCTCAAAACTAAAGGAGATGGCAGAATTTCCAGGCTTTCCAGATCACCCTACACAGTCAAAATCATGCCCTGGAAAACCCAAACTTGAACTTCCAAAAATTTTGCCTTTATTTCCTCATAGCTTTGTAGCAGAAAATTCTCCTATATGACCTCAGAGAAAGATGTTCCTGGCTCAATAATTTCAAGGGCAACCACAGTTCTACAATCAATGAAAACAGCAGATGGAGAAGTGGGAAAAGCATTCTGTTTCTAGGAAGGAGAATCACTGAAAATATTCATTAAGTATTTCAACCTACGTCTTCATCATGGCTACCTCAAGCTCCACTGTAACTGAAAAGTTCAAAATTCTGAGTCCCTCACATAATGTGAATGGGTTAAAATGTCCTCAGAAAACAATGTTCTTTCACTTCTAACACAAAGGAAAATTCTCTAAGAATGCAAGTTACCATCTATTATCTTTTTATTTTTATAATTCAAAATTATAATGTACTTCTCCAAGGAATCTGACCTAGAGGAAATTTGACTGTTTTCCATAAAAAAGTAATCCATGACACTACATTCATGCTTTATACAGATTTATAGAAAATAAAAAAGCAAGCATTTTTTTCTTGACACAGTTGCCTGTTTTGTTTTTTGTTGTTTTTTTTTTTTCACTACAGATAATTAGCTATGGATATTGAACTAGAAATTATATTAAACTCTGAAGCTATTTAAGTATTAAACATCCACAAAGCAAACTCTAGCATAAAATGACTAATGGTGTTTGGGTTAGCACTGTTATCTAGAAGGGGTCTGAGAACAGTTAATGACTTGCTGTCTCACTGCAGGGTGGCCTGCACAGGTGCTTCCATTGCTACAGCTGCTGGTGGTGATACACAGAAATATTGCAGTCAAGGACAGCCCTTCTCAAATAGTTCATAATTGCTCTCAGGGGAAGAGAAAAGCAGATGCATGCAATAACTCTTTCATGTAAATGTTTTCTTTATTGCTGAACCTTCTTCACTGAAAACTGAGTTGGGAGGAGCAGGGAGAAAGAACAGTGGTGCCTCTCTATACTCCAGCCCCCATCAAGGTCAAGTCCCTTCAGACTGTCCGGGGACCAGCAAGCTGGTTCAGAACAGCTATGTCATCAAGAACATGGGATTAATCTCAAAAAAGTTAGTAACTTAATCATCCAAATAGCTTTTTAATGGCATGAAGTGAAACACAGTGCAAAGGCCACACTGAAGAAAAAGAAACAAAATGAGGACCCATTATGACTGAGTGAAGATTGACTAATTTTTAAAAGTTTGTTATCATGTATGAACAAACTTATTTCTGGTTTAATTTATCCACAGTCTCTAAAGTGCATTTTCTTTAATCAAAACTTGTAGCAAGTGTGGTGAGTTTGCCCTAGCTGGCTTCCAGGTACCCACTAAAGCTGCTCTGTCACTGCTCTCATCAGCCAGACAGGGGAGAGAAAATATAACAGAAAGCTCATGGGTCAAGGTAAGGCTTGAGAGTTCACTCACCAAATATCATCACACGTGAAACTGACTGGACTTGGGGAAATCGGCTTATTACTAATCAAAACAAAGTAAGAGAATGAGAAATAAGGTAAAAACTTTAAAACACCTTCTTCCCAGGCTTAAATTTACTTCTGATTTTCTCTACCTTCTCCCTCAGCTGGTGCAGGAGGATGAGAATGGGAGTTGCAGTCAGCTCATCACATGTTGCTCCTACCCCTCCTCTTTCCTCGGGATAAGGACTCCCTGCACTCTTCCTTGCTCCAGCCAGGGATCCCTCCCACTGGAGGCAGTCCTTCATGAACTGCTCCAGTGTAGGTCCTTTCCATGATGTGCAGTCCTTTAGGAACAAACTGCTCCAGCATTGGTGCCCTCACAAGTCCTGCCAGAAAACCTGCTCCAGTCCCGGCTTCCACAGGGGCATAGCCTCCACTGGGCATCCACCTGCTCTGGTGTGGGGTCCTCCATGAGCTGCAGGGGAATCCCCGCTGCACCAGTGACCTCCAGGGCTTGTAGGGACACAGCTGCCTCACCATGGTCTGCTCCATAGGCTGCAGGAAAATCTCTACTCCTCACCCACAGCAGTTCCTCCCACACCTTCACAGGCCGTGGGATTTGCATAGCTGTTTTTCTCACATATTCTCTCTCTTCTCTCTCCTGTTCTTTCCCAGTTCCTTTTTCTTTTCCTTCACCACTATGTTATCCCAGAGGCACTACCACCAGCACTGATGGACTCAGTCTTAGCCAGAACTGGATCCATCTTGGAACTGACTGGCATTGGCTCTAGCCATAGGAGAAGCTTCCAGCAGCTTCTCACAGAAGCCACCCCTGTAATCCCCTGCTATCAAAACCTTGCCACACAAACCAAATACAGCAAAAAACAGCTGGAACACATGAGCCAAGGCAATCCCAAGGCGTTCAACAGACCCAAAGCAAAGCTATTTGGTGCCACATAGGGGAGACGAGCACCAGATGTTCTCAGCCTTCTCTAATCCTGGCTTGACCAGACTCAGATGACAGTTTTTAATCCTTTGTTCTTGGGTGTCACATATCTGTAACGATAACAAAGCACTATGATCACTAACTAATCCATAAGCCAGGCAGTCTTCACGTGGCAGCAGAGATGGACTTTCCAATAGGACCATGAAGGACAAGGTTTATCAAGTGCTATTGAAGGGTTATGTGACATTCAACCATATGCACATGTCCAAAGACTTTTCAAACACATTCTGAGTACTACAGTTCTCAGAACTGTTGCAGCCTGAACACTAAACAGATCTTTAAAATTTACAAGGTTGTTGTCCAAAACTTCATTGCCACTGTGACCTTCCTGGATGTTTTATTTAAGCCTTGTAAAATTCATTCTCAGTAGCAGTTTAGGTGTTAAGAAGTAAGAAAGCTACAGCCACTTCTTTCTCTTATGCTTTACTTTGCCTAAACTGGTTCCCAGCTGCAGCCATTCACCCTGTTATCTTGATGGCAGGTGGATAACCTTAGTGTCATTCTGGTGAACAAACAAAGTTTATTTAGACAAACTCAGAAGTTTATTTGCAGTATAAACAGGGTATGATGAGAACCAACCAACCCCAGGAACGCACTCATTCTGTTTGCTTAACTCCTGCTCCTGAAAAACAGAAGAGGTGACTACAATCCTGTCAGGCATTCCTTTTCCATTTGGTTCTTAAAGAGCCTTCTAATTCAGGGGGCCTTTTTCATCCAGTTATGAAGGCCTTCATTGTACTAGCACTCTGCTGTAGTTTTTTCTCTAGCAAAGCCATTCCTCTTGCATTTGAGTTTTCAGACTGTGATGACCCTGATGTCTTTAAAGCTGTTGATGCAGCACTGAAGAAATACAATGAAGATGAAGCAACTGGTACCCAATTTGCTCTATACGTGGTGATGGAAGCCAAGAGAACTGTAAGTAGACTTTGCAAAAAAAAAAAAATTGGAATTGTTTGTGCACTCTGAATCAGCTTATCTCCATCTCGTTTGTTAGGGGGCAAGCATGACAGCACAGTGTCTTCCAAAAATGTTTTAAAAAAATCAAAGTGACTTGTACAGTAAGATACTTGTTTCCCTGATGAGTAGGGGTGTATATTATGTTTTTATCAGCAGAACTCTGTGTGCTGGTGAATTGCTTACTAATGCAAGGACCAAAGAACAGAAAATTTCTAACATCAACACAATTTGTCTTATTATTCCATTCTGTTCTCTTTTTTCTTAATTGGGATTTCTACCCCTTTCCATCACCTGTAAGGTTTTCAGACCAATGGCAAAACCACACTTATAAAAAAAAAATTATACTCTTGACTTGGGAAGAGCTGGTGCTGCACATAAAAAAGAATAACCTGATAAAGTTTGGCAATATTCTGACTTGTTTGTGAATATTATTTGATTGACACCTAAGTCACAGATCTATCTAGAATCACTAGGTGGTACTTTAGTCAAATAGGATGACAGCTAAAATTACAGGAGAAAAGAATGCAACATGATCCTTTGCCTGGAATCCTTCTATATAGCCTTAATCTAACAAAAGAGTATTTACCTCGGAGAGGTATACAAAGATGGTATTACCATAATAATGACAAGCATTATTTTACTTGAAAATAACATTAGCATATTTTTTCTACTGGATTGGATTTTCATATGTAAACCACAAGAAATCCAGTGTTAGAGAGAATACTTTGCACTCCAAAATCACAAGACACTTTTACCCAGACAGAAATTGACCTCGGAAAGGAGCCATGCATTGCTAAACACTTATGGCAAATTACCCACATCTCATGGCACCTGCCCTCTTGTGTTCCTGTTTACACACTGGGGAGATTTTAGCATGTGGAGACAAAGAGTAAAATCAGAAAGGCTTTTATATAATTAATATTAAGTAAATGAATAGTCTCATTGAACATTCTTAGCATTCTCATTCTTAAGAACAGCCAAATGCAAATATCTCCATATCAGAGCTGTAGTATCACCTACCTTCCTTTTGCTGGTGTTCCCAAAGGAGAGAGAGGAGTTGCAGAATTTTATCTTAAACCATGCTATATTTTTAAGAATACATATTTATTGCAATTATTATTCATCTTTCCTTCTCTAGATAGTCATCTTTCCTTTTCTTAAAAGATACAAAGTGGAAATCAATTATTACTTTGAATCATTGATCTGATTATGATGTTAAGTAAAAAACAGAGAAAATGAATCTGCAATTAAAATTTCCTCATATTTGAGATTCTTTTTCTAAAAAGAGTATAGATTTTACTCCTCACTAGTCTCACAATGTTGAATGCATTAATTAAATTGCTGGTTATTACATATTCATGTACATTAATTATTGATAAGGTAATAAAACATAAAAGCTTACTAGTGAAAGACTAAACCTGCCCCAGTTAAAGGCATAGCTGTTCATAACAGTAATGAAATGAACTAATAGCCAATAATACAGAAACAATGCCTTTTCTTACTTTGTTTACTTACTGAACTGATTTATTGCAGATTTAGAACACTGTAACAGAGAACAGAATTTGGCTCTTTTTAAATCCAAATAGTATAATCTGATGTAATTCCATAAAAGTCAATTTCTACCTGCTGAGGATCAAGTCTATTATATTTTTAGAGCCTCTTTTATCCTTTTTTACAACTATTATACGAGGTACCTCTACACTTCTTCATACCTGTAGCAAAACACAACAGGAATTAAGAGAAGGCAGAAAATAATTCTGTGTCTACTGCATCAGTGTAAATCCAGGATATGCCAACCACATCAGCTCAGCCTCATTTTTTTGGTAGCACTAAGGCAAGAATTATAATTTAATCCTCCCAGCAGAGACAGAGAATAATAACTGGATATTTTAGAATAATCAGTGCTAAACTACAGCAGTTGCCTGTTTGTATTTGAAAAGTCACATTGGCAGAGCATTTTTAGTGGCTGTAAAAGGTTAGTAACTTCTGACTTTATTTCTTCTCTAAAGGATGAACCAAACCTTACAGTGTTGTCACTGTCCCCTGTTAGGCACAGGCCTGCTACCTGGTTTATGGCAAAGAGAAAATGCCCATTACTGATTTACCAAATTCTGAAATACTTACACTGGCCAGGCCAAACTTTGCTTAATGTTTTTATTTCATCTTACGGGGTTGCTGAGGCTGTCCTGCCCTGCAGCCCAGCCGACCAATGCCTGTAGAAAACCACAGGCAGTGCCCAAGGCTGTCTCCAGAGCACATCCCTGCTCCCTCCTTCCCGTGCAGGCTGGGCAGCTGAGGCTCCCTGGTACCCCCAAGCAGAGGCTGTTTGGGCTCTGCCAGGCTGCCTGAGGGCTGCTGGTTCTGGGCTGCCAGGGCAGCTGCACAGAAAGAAAGTGGACAGATCTGGGAGGAGGCCAAGAGTGAGAGCGAGGGAGTCAGACAGGAGCACAGTCCAAGCTGGTAATTATGCTAACTATCCAAGCAGCCACGCAAAACGGCTTTTTGGAGTACATTTGAATGACAGTATAAAACCTAACCACTTCCTTTTGGTTCTAAACCCATTGGTACTATAAGTTAAAATGAAGGCAGTTGAGCATATTGTATCCATTATATCAAATATTGTCATTGTAGGTAAGGGCTAAGTAATATAATTAGGTAAGTTAATATTTGAACTACTGAGATCTGAGAGACCAGCAGCTAATGGGAAACAATACTATAAAATTTAAGGTAAATAAATAATAGTATTTACTTTTTTGAAACTCTTATCTTTTTACCTGATTTATTACCATGCAAATGATGACATGTGTATTGTTTTAATCCAGGCAGGTCCTGACCCACAGTTTTATGTGAAATACAGAATACTTGAAAGCACTTGTGCCAGTGAGGAAAACAAACACTGGCAACACTGTCATTACAGAGTATCTGCAGAGGCTGTAAGTATCTGCTCTCTTTAAAAATTCTCTGTACAGAAACATAAGGACCAGGACCACAATTGCTTGGGGAAAATACAGTAGAAGAATTAACTTTTTTAGCTGCATTGCTTTTGAAAGCTTATATGACTACAGTCCAGAAATGTTTACAACCCCAAAGTTAACCATTATAGTCCTGAGTTTTCTAGTACAATCCTGAATATATGCAGAAATGAACATTTCAGTGCTTCAATATGAAGGTTCTCAATTAACCAAACATAAGATTTGTGCACTGTCAGAGTGTAAGAACTGTAAAATTTGGTATTAACTACGTGTAAAGGAAACTTGCACAATCAAATACTGACATGGAAACCACTATGGCAGAAATTTTAGCAGAGGGCTTTCAGCAGTGCCAAACTTGCCTGGCTTGTGCTACCAGAGGGCACCCAGGGGAGGTAAAAGGGGGCACACACTGCAGGGACACTGCACATTCCCAGGGGTGGCACTGCTCTTTCACTCAGTACACAGGAAGGGATGATGGTGACAATGTAATTTGAATCTATGTGAAATGCCGTGGTCATTGCTGCATACCTTGTACTAGCAGAGGGGAAGATTGATAAATACATACTTCATATAGTCTTTAGTCATGTGTTAATTTCCATTATTCTGACTGCAAAGTCTTCAGTCAATCAGTGCACATCATACAAATAGAAAACATCATTCAAGTAATCTGCTCAGTTTGTCCTCTGCTTTCCTCACAATCTGATCCTTTTTCAGTAACAAAACAGCAGGTTGGACATTACTACAAATATACACGTGAACCTCTTCCTCAAAATCAGTCTACAGCTGTCAGCTGTGTTCAATAGCTAAAGCATTGTATTTTTCTTTAGCAAGTTTCAGACAATTGTTGCCATATGTTTTTGCAGAAAACAGGAGAATGCACAGCTCGAGTTCATATGAATGATGCTGATAAAACAACTAATGTTTCACAAGAGTGCAGAATTTTCTCAGGTATGTAACTATATGGGATAGCTTTCAACAAATACATTTACAAATAAAAATTGAATAAATACAATACTGAAACTTTCAGGTAATTTTAAAGGTAGAAGCTCCTTATCATCCTAGTCAGACATTTATGAATAATCTTTGGTAAGCAACTATTGGTTAAAGATAAAATTTCACTTCACTGTTATACACATATAGACAAAATCAGTGAAGCACAGGAAGTTTCTGGCCAGGGTAATAAAATTCAGCATGTATGTGTAGTAAGTTTCTTCAAGCATAGAATTATGCCAAGTTCAAATTTGTTTGCTTAAGACCAAAAGCATACTAATAACTTAAGAGACCAGATGCAACTTGTCACACTTCAACTTTCTGTCCTTAATTATTTAAGCATAAAATTGTCTGAGGAATTACTGGAAAAAACTTGGTATGACAAAATTGCACCTTCATTTTCTTCAAACTGAAAATGACTGAATTCTTGCTGTTAAAGTTTACCAAAACAAGTATTTACCTCAAACAATAATAGAAAAAAATTCATTTACAAGATAGAAATCTGGCAGTGATGTAATCATGTATGATTAAGAGACTGATATTTAACACTTTAACAATAAGCAGCACTACATTTTTCAGCTATAAGACACTCACATATGACTATTACATTCACATAGGAATTTCCCTTAGTTAAAAGAGATCACATGTTTTAAAGACTTCCAACTGAGATCTCTGTGCCTGGTGCTCTGAAAGACATACCCAAGTTTGCTTTAAAATATCCATCTAATTATTAAATACAGAAATATTCCCCCCAATTTCTGAGATGTTTGGCAGCCACTATCTGCTTTTTGTTCCTAGCTATATTGTTTAAAGCTGAAATGGCTTTACCTACAGTCAGTGTCTTTCTAGGAACTGCAGTACACAAACTCCATGTTCTGCATTGAACAAATGCTGCATTTGTAGGGCAATGGTGACACCTAGTTGCCAGCAAAAGTTGTGTGAATCTTACAGAGGACACACAGGAAATTTGCATTTGAATCTTTGCTTAGAAAGCAAAAAATCCCATTATATGAATTAAATTAATCAGGTATTCAGCCTAAGGAACTCCTCTCTTCTTACTAAGTTGTAACAACTCTGGAAAATAACACAGGTTTGTTCAGCAAAATCCTTATGAAAGTGCTGAGACCACAGTTGGTCTAGAAGTGGGTGTGCTGTTGGTTCATTATCTCCTTTGTGACTGCTTACTGAAAATGTGGTCATTGTTTTCTGTAAGGTATCTATTTGTCATTACTGAGTCAACATAAGACACACTTTGGTCTGCCAGGTGAGGGATTTCCCCACTGTATTGGTACCACACTGTTCAGCTCTCTGGTGGAATAGTTTGATCTTACCGACCCTGGACTGGTTTCCTGGTTGGTGCAAACTGGCATAACTTCCTTTAAGCCAGTTTATGCCAGCTGAAGATCAGGCACATAAATTTTACTTCAATTCCACAGGGACCACATATTGTCCCACTTCCATTCTCATGCTCACTGACTTGTGAAATTAATTTATGTACTGAACTATAAAATTAATTTATGAAAATCCAGTCCATGATTACTAGAAAGGAAAGAGAGTTAATAGGATTAGTAGTAGGAAACAGGAGTTTGAGCATCCCTGTCAGGCTTGTCTATTCACAGCCAATCCAGCTGGTTAAGCCTGAAGGTAGCACCAAGTGGTAACTGGCAGCCACACTGACTGGTGAGGGCAGCAGAATAGTCCAACTACAGTCCCTGGGGCACTCAGAGTCACAGCAGCTCATATGGCTGAGCCCAAACACTGCTGCAGTCCCCATCCTGAAACATGGTGAGGACAGCAAGCAGCTGCACACTGTGGGTGAGCATTGAAGAGTCTGAAAACCTTCCCCTCAGTTGTATCTTCCACTGGCTTCTCCCTGGCTGAATGAGTAATGTACCTTCCTCAATGGGGTCAAAACTACACACAAGGTTTTTTCTGCAATTTGTAATTGCTGGAATGGGGTTCACTGCCAAAACCATGCCTGGACCCTAAGGTCATGGATGGCCCCTGCCACCACAACCAGAGCATGTCCCTAAGCATAAAAACGTCTTTGTAGGCCTTGAAACTGGAATATAGAGTTTGCTTATCACACCAGTTAAAAAGCAGGAAAGGTTCTTGCTCACTCTCAGATAGGAAAAATGAAAACCTAAGGCTGTTTTGCATGAAGCCCTATGTTTTTGGTTTGTTGCTTTTCCAGATGTGTCAAAGATAAGACTTACTGAGGCTCCATGTCTTGGATGCTTTCATCCTATATCAAGTGATGGTTCAGAAGTGTCAGAAATTCTGAAAAAAGCCATTCAAAAGTTTAACAAGCACAGTGATGAACCTGCCCTTTTTAAGCTTGCGGAAATAAAAGAAGCTAAGAGACAGGTTTGTGCATGATTTTTCTCTAAATTTTACTGAAATAATTCAACCCAAAGCAGGTACCTTGTTTGTTTTGTGTATGTTTCTGATATTAAAGTGGATTACATTTAATAGTAAAGCATACAAAATGCATATGGAGGGTAGACTCAATAAATAATTATCTTAATTTATAAGGAATCATTAACAGTTACCTACTAGATTTTCAGAGCTCTCAACTAATAGCATACACATTTTTTTCTTTATTTGCAGTTGCTTCTAAGCAGTGTTTAGCACCAGTTTATTTGCATTCTGGTCTGGCACATGCAACCTGTATCATCTCAGACCCTCCTGAGTATTTTCTTTGGCCTTGTCCTGAGGCTCCAGCAGGAGCAGATCCCTCCTAGGGGCTGAGCCAAAGCTGCCAGCCTGCACAGATGTCTCCCACACTCACCAGCCTCTCAAAGAGCAGCAGGCATCTCTGGTTTTGCAGACAAAAAGACCCATTTATCAACAGCTGCTATGTGTTATAGGACAGGTAAACCCCACATAGGAAAAATGGGTAGGAGAACCCAAAAACCCAGTATGCCCCTTGCTGCAAGATTTCTGCTCATGGGAATATCTGCTTTGCAAGAAATGACTACTCAGATTGCAGAAATTCTGTGTCATCTGGTATTTCATGCAATAACTCCTTCCCTGTGAAAAGCTTTCCTATGGATTGGTGTGACATTGCTAGAAAATAAAGTTTCTTATTTGGTTTTTAACTAGTGTAGAACCCAACAGCAAACACAGACTCTTTCCTTTGAACCTGTGTATATTTACTAAGCCAAAAAGCAACTTCTAGTCTCATGTCAGCTTGACTCATTATTTAAGCCAGACTGTCCTTGTTGTATTTACTGATGGCAGCAATCCTCTTTGCTGAAACACAAACTTGCACAACATTTAAGCCACATGACAAGATAGACTGCAATCCAGCAGCTGGAAAGAGAACCATCATGTCACCTCTGGCACACAGAGAAAAGTCAGAGCTTTCCACTTCAATTGATCTGGGATAACAAATTCTTACATTTGATTGGTTTTCCTTTTTCATACAATGTTACCCAGCCCATCAGTTTGATTTTGAGAGGTTCCATGGGTGAGAAGAAGTAGCCACTGTTAGGAAAATGGAACAGTTTCCTGGAAAGAAGATTTTTAAAAAAGGGTTATGAACCTGGACAAAGCAGTGTGTGTGGGAAGGTAAAGCCCAGGATAGACACAATTATGGGTAGATGATAAATGCAGAACACTCAACAAAAAATGATGCCAGCAGTATAAAGTTACATTATTCAGATACTGTTTTACTGTGTCCCATGCTCAGGAATGCAGGACTTGCCAGGCTGTGTTACTGCAGTCATCTATCTAGAGCAGATTCCTGTCACGGGCAGTAATAAGTAACAGATCTTTGGAGGAAAGCACAAGAAACCCAGCAGTGGGAGGCTGCAGGCTTGCCAGAAGTGGACACCAAATACAAAGTGCACTTCTAACAAAAGCAGGATTTAGTTTACACTTTGTACTGCAAGGACAAGGTTTTTTGCTGTCCATGAACAATCTATGGTTTAATGAGTGCAAAGTGATTTGATAGACAGAAGGCACGAGATGAGTAGTTTTGCTTTCTTTGCTAATCTCATGTAATAGTTTAACTTTCAAGTTTGAATTATTTTACATAATATATAACCTAAATATCTCTTCCAGGTGGTAGCTGGATGGAACTATGTAATTAGATACGAAATTGAGGAGACTAATTGCACCAAAGACCAATTTCAAGATTTAACTCCAGAATGCAAAATCACTTCTAGAGGTGTAAGTAATCTCCAAATCTGTTTATCAAGAAAGTATCACATTAATGAATGGTCATTGAGTTCTGAATGGTCATTTCTTGAGAAAATATTTGTAGTCTTGCTTCAGTTCAGGAACAAAGCTTAAATCCAGTCTTATTCATAACTGTTTATGTAACTAGGACATCTATGTCTTCTGAATCAGTGACTAAGAGGACCACTGAAAGGTTTACAGATTACACCACAGAATCTAACCAGTCTTACCCAAATAATAAATCCCTTGAGTTTTTATCCAGATATTCAAGGGGTTACTCATGAAAAACCCAAAAAGTGATAATTAAAATTAGCACAATTTCCAGCCTAAGACATATTTTCTCAGGAAGGTCAGTAGCTGAATTATTACTTAACCTTTACCACAGTCCAAATAATAGCTTCAAAAGAAATATATTAACATAATTTATACATAATCCAGGTAAACAGTGCTGCAAACCCAGGCACTCCCTTGGCTTCACTGACCTGGAACTGAAGCAGCTGTACCAAAAATAGAGGCTTCCTCTCTCAACTGACCTCCCTGAACCAGCTCACAAGGGCATCAGAAAGATGATTTTACAAACACAAGGCAGAAGGCAGGAATGCAGAGTCACTATGAACAGTGGTGGTAAAGGGGAGGGGAGAAAATGGCATCTGTTTCAGCTGTTGAGGAAATGCACCATTGAGTGCTACATTCAAGAGCCTCTCCTGTTGAAAAATTACTCCTTGTACATCTCAAGAATGTTTCAGAAGCATTGATCAAAAAAGGGAAGAATGACAGCGCTGGTAAACAACAGAAGCATGAGTCAGACTAGCTGAAGCAAATCCCTCCACTACCCATGTGCCCTTAAACCTTAAGCAAGTTACTTAAGCAGCTTGAGTCTGAGTTTCCCCAGCTGTCACCTAGAGGGGATGACTTCTGTCACCTCACCTACTGCAGGAGCACTGCCTCACTCACACTGCTTTGGTCACACAGGGCTTCTGGAATTAGAGCATAAGCACTTATCCCCTGAAATTACCAGTAGATCATTGACAGATACTAGAATACCATATTCCAAGAATATTGGAATGACCAAATTCCAAGGAAGTTTTCTCATACCTTTAATCAGCTCTGTACTATTATCTTTAAATGGGAGGGCCAGAATTGCACCCTGTATTCAACACACACATGAACCACTGAGCTATACTGGGACATCATTCAATCCCTTTAACCTGGGTAATTAGCCTTGACATTATTCTTCATCAGTTTTTCTAAAATACTGAGTAGATTTTTTATAATTACATTTTCAAGTAACTGTCATGGTCCTGAGGTCTGAGTTTTAAGTCTTCCTTCTTATTTTATGGTTTATTTGGTTTCTTTAGTCTTTGATAAAGGATTTCACCAAAACCTTTCTTAAAATCTCTGTATAACAAGAGGTCTCTTACCCACCTTTGTTGATGTTTTGCAGAACTTTGACAAATATGCAAAATATTACTTCTGTTTACCATAAAACCTCAGTTTCTCCTGGATGTATTCAATGCCCCTAGTTCTTTCCTTTTTACTATTTTTAATAATTGGAATGATGGAATTGGTTTTAGGCTCTATAATCTTTAAAAAAACCGGACAATCAATATCTGCTTTCTCCAAGCTTTAAGATATCAAGGCAGTTTTAAGCAAGTTATCTACCACAGTTCCTTTAGAAGACCTGAGAAAATACAAGAAACTCAGTAATGTTTGATTTTATAATTATGTAATTTTCTTTTTCGTTTTTACAGTTTGAGACAGAAATTCCATGGAGTTATCCATAAAATATGATTCTGGCTTGTAAACATTCTCACTTTTCTCTTCAATGAACACATACAAGTAGTTCATTTGGCTTCTCTTTTAGGTTTTTATTTACTCTGAGTGGTCCTTTTGAACTCTGATTATTTATTGGCTCTGCAGACTGTCAGGAAGGAAGGAAGGAAGGAATTATTAGAAGCATGCTTAGCATGCTTGATTTTATTCTGTTAGCAGGAAGGTATTAGGATGTGAGCTTTTTCATTATTTCTAAATAACAAGGAGCTGTTTTGCATTTTTCACTCCAGCGTGTAGCTAAATGTGAGGCCAAAGCATTTCAGGATCTTCACGCAGAGATCGTAGATACCATGAGTGACTGCAAGCTTCCAGGTATGTCTTAGGCACTATCAGCTTTGAAAGTTCCAGCTTTCAGTGTCTTTTATTGTTATGTATTGTTATTTTTTCCTCCAGACTATCTGGACACAGACACTGTTCCATGTAGTAAATGCTGCATTCTCACCCATTCAGACTAGATTTTCCTCAACACACAAATTCACTGCCAGGTACATGCACCTCTTGTTTCACCCAAATCAGGTCTTTCCATCCATGTAGCTGTTCCCTCTCCATATTTTCTGGCTACCTACAACTGGCACATGCAATTCTTGTTTCTACAAGAGAACTGTTGTTAAATGTCCCATGTGATGCTGGGTGCTGATGTTCCTTTAGATAACAAAGACATTATATTGCTGATCATATAAACCTCAAATATATTTTACTTTCATTTCATAGACTCAAACATGAAGAGTTCCAGAAAGCAGGGCTTTATAACTGTTTTTCCCGGCCTTTATCTACATTGAACCTTTTGTTTCTTAGATCTGAAACCTGTTGCTCTCTTTCAGTTGAAGAAACGGTAGTTGCTGCCATTTGCCCAGGTTGTCCAAGGACTATCCCAACTGACAGTCCAGAACTGAAGGAGCTACTGAAGGTTTCTACAGAGAAGTATAATTCAGAGAGCGATGATGACTTCTACTATAAAGGTGGAGAAATACAATCAGCGACAGTTCAGGTTGGGATATTTCACAGAGATGAGGAACAGACATGACATTATTATTGGCCTGAGCTAAATGTTACCTTGAGTTTGTATTTAGATTTGAAATAATGTTTTTGTCTAAGTGCTGATACATGTGGTAACTGAAATATCCAAGCAATTTTTCCTGTAAAATCAAATCCATATTGGTTTACATTCAAAAATTTCCAATCTCTTAAATTTTCTTTTTTTCTTAAAACAAAATGATTTTAAAAGTATGTAAAGAAAGTTGGCTCAGGGCATTTGATTTCTGTGTATCTACCCTACTTTCTACCTTTGTAACATACCTTAGACTTCTAGAGTACAAAAGTTTTTTAGACTCCCTTGATCCACCACACCAATACTCTCCACGTTATTTTAAGCAGTGTCTACCCTACAGTTGTTGTATGGTCCAAAATGAGGCATCTTAATTTCCCTTAGAAATGTGTTGTTTTATATACTGATTTTGCTGCTAATAATACTCTAGCTAGATTCAGAAAAGCACATCTGTGCATAACTTAATACATACAGATAAATAGAGCTTGATAAAGGATAGGAATCAGGAAGATAATATTGGTCAGCATTTGCATAAGCCTTGTTTACTGTCCCAACACATCAAAACAGAAGTTTAGAAGAGAATTAAAAATTTGACAGTGGAGTAGCTTAGAAAATAATTGGTCATAACTACTCCTGAGCATGAGGTGTCACTGAAGAAGGCACTAAAAGCACACCAGAATTTTTCCAAATAGCTCATATTATCTTACTGATAATATCTGTGCCTTTTCTTCTTTCAAACTTTTTTCTTCCTTCTGACTTTCCCTATCATGACAGATATAAGCACGCATACACCTTTAAAATAGATTTCAGGGAAATAAAATTTCATGTCTTGCCTGATGTCCCCAAAGGAAGATATATTATTTCAAGCTTTGTGAAAAATACTAAGAGAACACATAGCAGGCACATTCTTGAACCCATGCAGTTTCTCTCTTTAATGTGTTTGGCAAATAGGTTCATTTTCAACTGAGCCCGTTCATCGCACACTTTGTTTTACTCACATTCCACTTTTCTGACATCGCATTTGGCTCTCTACAGTGCTATCACTAATGATTTCATCTGTTACTAATGAAATTACTACAGACATTTAATAATTGTGGGCCCAATATTATCCTGACCTTTTCTGTTTCCTTCAGTTTCAATGCCAGAATTTTTGAGAATTGGAACTGGAGTAAATAAGTTACTTGATTAGAAGCAGATAAGTTTATTGCCAAATATTTTAAGATTGCTCTTCACATATGTTGGCCCAGTGGTTAGGACTTGTAGAACACAAGTAGTTTAAGCTTGTATAAAATCATCTTTCCTGTGAAACCTTTTCAATAAAATGCCTTTAGTGCAGAAAGCTTTCTTGCTAATTTTTCAGGTGGTTGCAGGAAAAAAGTATCGAGTAAAATTTACAGTCTGGAAGACAAACTGCTCTAAGAGTGAGTTTGAGAAACTTAATGAAGACTGTACAGCCACATCAGACAGTGTAAGTAATGATAATCTTGCCAACTGTAACGTTTCTAATGGACAAATTCGTTTGCATCAGAAACTGTAAACGCTTAAGTAAAATCACATCCTGGGTTCTGTTACTTCTTTCAGTAAGCTTTTGTTCCAAGAAGAAGGGCAGCTTTCACTGTTTGTAACCCAAGTTAAGAAACCCTGAAACTTGAACCACAGCTGCAGGATCAGTGCTCACTGCAAAACCAAAGGAACTTTCTTTTGATAATAATCAATCAAAGAAAGGAGAGGAGAAGGCTGCTGCCAAATGAAATAGCTGCAATACTCCTGACTCCGTGGACTGGCAGCTAAGGAAAACATGAGACTGGATTGTTACTTGTGAGCAAAGGAATGAAATTTCTGGAGTGTGTGCCATGCTCTTGATAGCAGGAAAATGTGTTCTGGACACTGGAAAGGAATGTTGATAGGGCCAGCAACCATTGGCAAGGGGATTGTTTGGGCAGAGGGCCTTTACCTCCCATCTCTTTTCCCACCATATGAACAGTGCTTACCTGTGAGATTTTAGAAATTGTTAGTGCAGCAGGAACTAAAAGGAAAAAAAAAGACTTTATTTAAATTTCCCAATTTTTAGTAGGAGAAACATCATAAACAAAAAATATTTCTTAGGAATATCATGAAGATTATGCAGTCAGTGCTCCAAAAGTGAGAGAGATGAAAAATCCAATTTTCAAGATTTAATCTGAAATCCAAAGTCGAATTAAAGTGTTCACACAGGCAGAATACAACCTTGAAAAGCTAAGCTGTGATGTGTCCCAATACAGAAGTATCCATCACTGAGACAGATTTAATAAACAGTTGGTTTAAGTTCCAAGGATTTTAAAGTATTATTAAAAAACCCATTTCTTTTTCAGGCCCAAGTCTCTCCCTTTTTGTCTGAAACTTTGTTGCCTTAATGTGTTGGTTTTTGTTTTGTTCACAGGCATCACTGTCATGCGATGCACAAATTCACGTGATCCCATGGCAGAATAAAATCTATCCCCAGGTGAACTGCTCTGAAGAGCACCAAGCGGTAAGATTCTTCCTCAGTATCCATCCTATTAAGCAGAGTGTAGGACAAAGGCAGTCAATAAATTCTTCATCCGTTCCAAATTATCCCATATTTTATACCAAAAATACAGGAACACAGTTCTTTTAACAGCCTCATTAACATCATATTCTTTTCTCTCACCCTCTAACCTCAACCCTGTTACATCAAAGCCGTTTCACCACAAGCAACAAGGTGATCACACAAACAAAGACCCTGCAACAGGGAGAAGTTCTGCCTGTTGGCTGCTCCTCTGCCTTCTTAGTTAAGCTCTGGAGTATCAAGCTCCATCAAATCCCTCAAATTGCTACTCATACTAGGTTTAAAGGTTTTTATAAAATGTATTTGCTGGCACAATAATTATACCCCACAGATATCCAAAGCGCCTGTGCACCTTTCCATACGAGTCGAGTGGTGCCTGCTGCAGCTGTCAGTGTCTGCACAAGGATCCTCCAATTTCTTCCTACTCAGCTCCACAATGAGCTAGTCCTGACTGCGAGTCAGTTTAAAAATCTCACAATGGGATACAAATATTTTTATTGTCAGATATTTCTGAGGATTGCAGAGACTCCATTGTGACACTGAATAAAGACAGATTACCCTGCCCTTGTAACTAATAACTTCACTCTGCTCAGAACCTTCATAACTACATAGTCTTTGTTATGTATCAACTAATGCCTCTCCTCTCTGTTTTCACTACAATATTTTATCCATAGCAACTTTGAAATTTAGCTTCAACCCAAATAACTCTGATTTGCAGCTAATAATGATCAGAGACTTTGGAGGAGAGAAATGAAACTCGCGTTGTACAGTGAGTGTACACCATGTATTCACAGCCTTTGTCTCCCAGTTAAACACTGATGAGGGAGTAGAGATGACTCAATAACAACAGAATGTTTGATATTATCAACTTTAATCTCTGTGTGTTATTTCCAGGCAGTATTCTGAAATGCATATGTCAAATCTAGAAGTAAAAAATTGAATAGCCACATTTTATATAACAAGATTCCACAGATGTTCTGCATATTCTGCCATTGATGCTATTCAGAGATGTGTTAACTTTCAGCATGAATTGGTGCTATACATGGGAGTGTAACACTCTAACATGCACCGGGACATTTAGTTCTAGAATCCAACTGTATTGTTCATAAATTAAAACCAGTACATGTGTTTTGCTCTCTGTAATATAATTCCTTTCTTACACTGACAAAATTTCAGTGATACAAATAAATTTTTTTTTACACATTTAGCTGCTAAAATACTCCAGAATTATTTGGGAGGCTGTTTATGTTTGTATACTTATCTTAGAAGAGAGACTTGTTTAGTTAAGATTTTAGTTTAAAAATCTGCTAAATGATTCATCTACTGCAATGAGCCAGCTTCTGAATTTCCCACATCTGAAGCAATTGTTCTGTTTCGTGTAACAAATGTGGCTGCTATTGCAATGTTTTTTAGGTGTTCTATGCAAGGAGGCCTCCTGGATTCACACCTTTCCGGAGCACTGTCATGCTAAGCCAGCCACATGCAGTTTCACAGGCTGATAAAAAAGGAGAAAGTCAAAGCCCTAGCACAGAAACAAGGAAAGACAATGGACAGGAACCAGAAGGTGAAGGTGAACCTGAGCATAAACACAGGCACAAGCACAGGCATAAGCATGGGCATGGAGTTAAAAAGGATCATGACAATGACAAAAGGCACAGGCATGACATTGGTTGTGGGCACAGAAGTGGCCATGGGTGTGGGCATAAAAAACACAGTAAAAAGAATAAACATAAACATCCAAACCCCAAATCTTCTGAGGAGTCAAATGAAAGGGGTTTTAATCGAAATGAAACATTCCCATCATCATCCAGTGCTGAAAGTGCACTGGAGCTGGTTAGTACAGGGGTTGCAAGGGAGGAAACCAGTAGACCTGCAGAGCCACTAATTGTTCCTGATACTTCTTTATTTAATGGATTGCCAGATCGCCCAGAATCTCCTCGCCCCAGATGTCCTGGAAAACCATGGAAACAACTTGTGGGCTTTCCAGCCCCTCCTAGCTTTCCCAGAGAATTCACAAATGAGGATCTCTTGCCTTCTGCAGCAGGAAACATCGATCCAGCTACAGAAAACAACGAGAAAGACTTTGATCTCACAGATGCTTTAGCATAATTCAAACATTGCAGGATCCTTTTCAGATATGTTATATAGAATATAAGAAAAATACCGCCTTTTGAAATGTATAAAATGCAAAGAGGCAAAAGCTCATATTCTGTTAGCTGAAATACTCAAGTAGGTCACCAGCACTTCTGGGGACCTAAGACCATATGGCAATACTGTGCATTTGCATATATTTGCAAATATGTAAATCTGTGTAACTCATCTGCCTCAATTTTCTATAAGCACAAACTGAATCACTGCATCAAATCTTACTGTATTATATCTAAAAGAAAGAATTTTGCAGATTACACTAAGAATCTTGACCAAATATCAGTAAAACAAGTCAATATAGAACAAGAGAGCCTCTCTTAGATATGTGAAATATTTTTTCTTTAATTTACTGGAGTGGATCATTTAAAGAACAAAATAAAACAAAGGAACCTTTTAACCTGGTAATTTCTTTAAAGAAATCAATATTGCTTTCAGTCTATCACTAGTGGTTGTTGTGTTGGATGAGATAACAGGGACAGCTGAGAGAATCCTAAATAAAGCAGATTTATTATTCCCTACACATATTATGTTAACTACCTAGAGAAGCACCTTGATTGCCAGATTTTCATTCAGCAGAGATGAACAAATCCTACAGATCAGATGACAAAATCATGAACTCTTGAGACACCTAAAATCTGTGTGCCTTCTTCCATTATTAGGTTGTGCATCATTTTGAGACTGGACTGATTTTCCTGTTTGGGGTATCTTCCAAAGGTTGAGTTTTTGGTGCAATGCATTAGCTAAAAATTATTTTGCAAGATATTTCTTGCAAAATAAAATGTTTTCCCTTTGTATGGATGCGATAACTTACTCAGCTGAAAAAACCCCAAAAACCACAAAGCAATAAATAAATAAATACTTCAATGCCAGATCAGTTCACAGTTGAAATGCTACTCCATCCTGTAAAGGGTTAGTGACAGGGTGAGGTCCTACAAATGATAGCACATCACTGATTTTGCTGTAAAAGACCACATTACTTGAAACCTGTGGAAATGCCCTCCACCACAGCTGCTGGGATTGCTGTGGCATTGAGACTTTGTACTCAACAGCTGGGAATGGCTCCTTTTGTGTGCTGTGCTTCTACAGTTGGGGAGGAGGTAGGGGAAGTCTACTCAGAGAACGCAAAAGAGATGGGAACAGGATCAGGAGGTCTTGCATAACAGGCAAGGGATGATCTGCAGACAGGAGACAGCTACCAAGAAAGGTCAGAAGATACAGAAGTGGAAATAATAGAGGCAGGGTGGCATGATAGGGCTGGGGTGAGAAGAACAAAAGAAAACAGCAAATTAGTGGTAAAAATTGAAACAGAGTGAATGGGATGGAAAAGTGGGTAAAGGTACAATTGTCAAGGAGCTATGAAAGACAGAAACTCAAGAAGGGGGGCAAGAACAAAAATAAGAAGCAAGAGAGGGGTCTCTGATTGTGCAGGAGAGTCCCCAACATATCACAGAACAGAACTCATACTGCCTGAGTCTAAGCATTCCCTGACAGTGTAGGCACGCCTCCCATTTTCAATGCCTGGTTCCTTTTTTCTAATTGCATTAGAAAATTCATTAAAAGGTATTGAAAAAGTAAGGAAATCTAAAATTAGAAACAGTGCCTGTGAGTAAAAATTCAGCATAGTTGTGTGCATCTGAACTTTTTTTTACACAGTATAACAGGCTGCCACATAGGGATGGATGGAGACAGACAGATATCTATAATGACTGATGGTATCAGAACCATTATACTTCCTTTCTTTCACAAAATAATCATTCACAAGTCATAAAAATTAGCTGGAGTCCAATTTTAAAGAAAGATACAGTAATAATAACCTCTAGATCCATCACTAATCAAATCCAGCCTTTTAAATGCATTCCTTTCCTTGCAGCATAATATGCAAAGGCTATCTTCTTGTTTTGACAAGAACTAAACTTACAAAGCTATGCCAATGAAAGCCTTGAGAGTTATCTTTAGTTCTCTGCTTCTTTTCTTCTGAATATCTGATTGGTATGATTTAGGCTGTAACTGAAAACTTTGTGTATACTGAATTACTATCAGGAGTATAAGCTCAAAACAGTTTTTCTTTTGATTACAGTAGCAATTTAATAATTAATGCAAAATTACCGTAAAAACATATAGATGCAAATATAAGAAAAACAAAGTTTTCTTTCCATTTCCAGTCTCCCCGATGTGAATGAAAGGAACATCACACTCTTGATGTGTTCTCCCCACAGAGCACATACACAACCATGAGTAGTGAGACAGGACTGAGTGGTCATTTACCACATGCTGTAGTGATGTTGTGAGGCTCCATTATTGTCCAACACAAAGATGACAATTTCAATTTGTTTATACAATTTACAAAAGTAATTACCTTAAAAAATCATTCTGGAATAAAAATCAGTGTTCCATATGTAAAAATTCTGAAACAGAATGTTTGGATATTTTTAGGACAGAACATTTCCATTCCTCATTGACATGTTCCCACAGAAAGTTTCAATTATCACAAAACAGCACTTTCGGATGGAAGAAGCTGCTGTGAGAAAACTCCTGACCAGGCTAAAACTCCTGCTCCTGCTGAAGAGCTCTGCAAAACTTCCAGCTTCTCCTCCTGCTGGAATTACGCTGGAACGCGTGATTCTCTCCAGGCCCGCAGAGCCGAACGAGCACTTTCCTCCTTGGCCAGCAGATGGCACAACTTTTGTCACAGGGTTTATGATCGCCAAATTTTGTCAGGTTTGTCACTGCCAGGAATGGTTTAGTAGGCTTAACACTCAGCGTTTCTTCTGGGTGAGTAACACTGTAGCTAAAAACACCCCATCTGTGCAATCTGTTTTAAATATTAAGCTCTAGCAATAGAGCTTCGATGCTTGCCAGTTACTTACTATAAGCAAAGCATATAAATAACACTGTAAATGTAATTCCATGAACATGAAAAATCAGGGCTACTCCCGCACCAGAAAAACTGAATTCTTACTGATACAGATAATCGGAACTAGGAGTCTGGGGTATGAAAATATGTCTGAATTAAACCTCTGTTTACTCATACTGCTGACATCCAGAGCCACATGATGGCCATTCTGCAGCTGTCTGAATTTAATGTTCTGCCTCTCCTGTTCATTCCATCTGTGACAACAGCACAAAACACATATTTTAACTGACCATATGAAAAATTCCTCAGCTTTGCTATGGATGGGCTATTGGATTTTTGCCATAAGTCAGACATGAACTTTTCATCACACTCAGCAGTTTCAATCATCCTCCAGTGCTATGTTCACACAGTGTAAGCCACGGGAGAGAGCTGAGCAAACACCTGACATCAGAACATGTGGAGCATTAATGATGAACACTGCTATTTGACAGGATGGAAGAACTCATTTCTTTCCTTGTTTTCTCAGGTCTCTCAGCCAGCAAGACAATTGCTCCCAGTTTAGGAATAACAGCTCTGAGGATAAATGACTCTAAGTAGCTACAGAATTAGAAATGACACTACTACACGGCCATTGTAATGTAGACAGAGCTGTACCAAATCCAGTGTAAAAATTCCTCATATATTCTTTAAAAATAACAATGGGGATAGATATTTTCAATTTTGTAACCAGCTACTCACCCACAATTCCTAATTCTGCTGTGTCTACAAGACCACATTAATGTAATGCAGCTCCCACAGTTTTAATTAAGCTTTATGTGCAAGTTTATTTGGGAAAATGTAATTAATAACACAATGTTTCTACTGCATTCTAAAATGAGAGGAAGGGTATGTTAAGGAGTAAAGAGTGAAGGTTTTTCTAGTTGGCTAAGGCATTTTGCTGCAATGAATACTCCTAATACTGCAGCTCCTGCAACGGTTTCAATCTGCTGCCCACTGAAAACTCAACCATAACCTTCAAAGGAGTAACTCCTACCACTGTGGAGTAACAGGGAATAGAAACCTCATAGTGATTCTTTTTTCTTCTGCCAGGACTACAGATAGTGCTGATCTGTGGGTTGAAGATCAGGCATTAAAATACTTACCTTACCCAAATTAAGCCACAGAAAATCAGAATGCCTTGCAGAATCCAGTCATGCCAAAGGAATATATTTGTTTTAAAAATGCAAAGACAAAATATATTTATGAGGGGCCCTGTATGAATTCGGCGGATGCCTCTCCACCTTCCCACTGGATTCACTTATCACAAGATCCAACAGACCACTTGGCTTGAAAGAAAAGAAATGCTATAGTTTCAGTGAAAAACAAGGGAACAAAACAAGTCTGACTAAGGCAGAGAATGAACAAGGATGTGTTTTTAACTGAAAGTTAGATTACTATTAAAAAACTCAAACAGTTGGGCTAGACAAGAATTGAGGATTGTTGATTTCAAGTTGGGGAACATAATGCTTATGAACAGAATATCAATAGGAGCATGTTTCAAGAAAAACTTTGTCCTACATGCCCAAAACACTATAGTTCAGTGCCTTGAAAATCCACCAGACACATGTAAAAAAATATTATTTTGTTTCTTATTCTAACCCTTAAGCATGTCAGCAGAAGTTAATGTCTTGCCATTTAATCCAAGAGGAAAAAAGACTAATGCCATAAAACATTATGAAGAAGTAAATCTACTATAACTGAATTCTCTTACTTTTCTAAGTCAATTGTTCTACTAGCTGTAGAGTGACTAAAAGAGTAGTAATGCTCACAAAATCAATAAAAAGAAAGGGGTATAATGGGATATTACTCAGGCTCTGCAAAAGAAAAAAAAATCAGTCCCAGAAGGAATCCAGAAATCGGACCGATCATTTAAGCAGTCTTGTGACTGCTAAACTAAAATCTCCTGTTTGAGTGCAGAAGCCTGATTTTACATTTTGCTGAGAAGTCTGTGCTCCCATTAACCTTAAATAGCACTATGGGTGCTCAGCATTTCAGAACTCAGGCCTTGCACCACTCAGCCAAAGCCTATCGTGTCGAAAGTTGATATTACCTGGAGTGGTTGAGATGGAAATTGAGCAGTGCAACACCTCAAAAATGGAATTATGGGCAGCATTAGCCATCAAAGTAGCTTTTATATTTTACAGTGTTTTGGGAATTAGTGCAAGTCCTGGCACTAACCACAGCAGCACGAGTGGCTTAACAGCTTTCTTTCCTGGCCCAAACACAGAGATTAGAGTGTTCTGGGTAATGTTTGTCATACTTCCTTTTTCCCTTGATCACTCCCACAATACAAACCAGGTGGAAGACACAGGCAAACCAAGCATAAACTACAAGATCACCTCTTTCTTCAGAATTCAATACAAACGTGGACAGATTAGTAGATTTACAAACAACACCTCTGTCTTGTTCAGCTCCATTAAGTTGCTTTTCTATCATAAGACAACCAAGATGCCTCTGAAACTTTGACTCAAGTTGATAGATCTGTGGGTTGTAGCTGACAGTTTGGCATAGGAACAGCAGCAATATGAAGGTTATAATGTGGGTGCACTTCATCAAGACATTTCTGTACCAGCACTATTGTAGCTCTGCTCTTATTCACTGTAAATACATACTAGCCACCATCAATCCATCAACTGCAACAAATAAATATTCATGCTATTTGGAAACTTATGAGAATAGCTTGTCATTTAGCAACACTGGGCTTCTGCCCACCCCTCTGCCAATGAAAAACTATTACATTGATCTTAGACTGCAACACTAACCATTCACTAAATATTTATATAAGACAACCAAATTTTTGTCTGGATAGGGCCCATCCATTCCTTGCTTAGCACTGATTCCACAAAGAAGTGTTTATTACACAGTCATACTTGTTTGAATAATCACCTCACATCTCTGAAGAACCCAAACTGCTTTGACTCAGAAGTTCAGTGATCTCTTCTGAAATATAGCACCTAATGCCCTGTGGAAATCAGTCCTAATACACTCAGCAAGGCACTATCAATTGTTCAGAGAAAGAGACTAAAGCCCTTGCTGACACTGAACTAAATTTCCATCATTTGTACTGCCAGTGGATGCCTCAGTCATGGATTAAGACTTGAACTTCACATGCACTGACTCAGAGGACCCCCACAAACCTTAACAGGACGTTATCAACTCCAAGTGCACTGGAGTTGATCTTTAGAAACATCAAAAGAATGGTTCTAAAGAATGCAGGAGAGCTTTTCGTAGCTTACAAGTTTGGCAAAATCAGTCTGAATCAAAAATTAGTCTGGCTAGTAAAAATGCATTTGAACATCCAATTCCACATGACAAACTTTGGAAATGGAAACTTATGTATGCATGATTGATAGATCTTGCCCAGTGCCACCCATGACTGGGAAATGTATGAGCTAAACTCTGTATGAGCTAAACTCAAAGAATAACAATTTCACAGTGAGAGATGGTAATGCTAAAAATAAAAATCTGAATCCCTAACATTAACAGCCTGAATTACTCAGTCTTACTACCAGCTGCTATAGAAAAAAAAAATCCCTCTGACCCAAACTGCAAACAGACTACAGGAGAACAGTCAAACACCATTTGATAAATGGTGATAAAGTGCAAAACAAGAAATTGTGAGAAAGGGCTGATCTATCCAAGCACACCCAATAACACAGCAAACAGATGGTTAAGCAATATCAACACAGGAGTATCAACATAGCTAATACAGTGTTATCACTGCCTCCACAGTTTGTTTTATTCTCCTCAAGGCCCTGCTGTGCAAACACGGCAGGTGTGCTGGGTTTGCTGTGCAGGGCCTGTGGGCTCAGACCCCTCAGAAGCATCCTAGGGACTGGGAGAAGGAGCAGGTGAAGGATAGCAAAAATATGTAGAATGTAGAAACAACAGCAGCAGATGCAGAAACAGCAGCAGCAGCTTTTTCATGAGTGTGTTGCAGATAATTCTGTAATGATATTGAAGTCTTAAACTACTACAAAGCTCACTTCATTAAAGATTTCCCACAGAAAGCATGTCTGATGTTGGTTCTATAGTCAGTATGCTCGAGTATCTAATACTAATTTTTTATTTATTTATTATACATTTCTACTCAAAAGACATCTACTTAGATAACAGAAGACAAAAGATCATTGATAAGAGATAACACATCAACATATCACAACAATCTTATCACAAAAAACATAATTTCACTTGCATTTTGAGAGCTTTCACAGCACTGCACAGCTGAATGTAACAACTGAGGCATTTTAATATACACAAACTGCATTCATCAGCTCAAGATTATGCTGAATTTTTTACCACCATTTTTTCTTCTTGTTTATCTCCCTACTAAATTTTTTCATGGCTGTCTCTACCCAGGGTAATAACGTTAATGCCCAAGTAGTATCAAAAAGCAGCTACCTTGAAGCAGCAGTGAGTATTTTCTAAAGGAAAAAGTCACTCTTCTTCTCCCTCCTTTCTTTGAAGCATTTCCTCCTGAAAGCATGGGAATCTGCTTGCTTGCTCATCACTCCTGCTACCCTAAACAACTGAGATACATAGCTTTGTTCTTCTGCACCAGCAGTTCTGCTCATGAACACTGACACTGAATTTCCTTTTTTAGACAGCAAGGACTCAGACTTTCTTCCTCTCCTCTCTGCCTCGCCTCCCCTCCCCCTCCTACAGTCTCTGCTGTGCCCTCATCTTACCTTCAGCAGCACAAGAAATCCATGCTGCAGTTTTTTTTCCTCGTTAGCAGCTCTATGGCAACAGCAGTTCTGAGGCAGCAGTCCTTTACAGTTCTCACTTCATTCTCCTTCCTTCTGCATAAAGATACACAGCCTGTTAGCCCAGGAAATCAGCAAAGACAATTCTGATGTGAATTAGTAAACAATTCCACAATTATTTCAGAAAAAAAGGGTGTTCCAGGGGGCACAAAGTTGTATTCCCAGAAGAAATGAATATTAGCAATGCAAATGAATAATATTAAAAGGAAATAAGAGAAATTCTTCTGGGTAATTAACTGTAAAATCATCTTCGTGATAACTCAGCTTTATTGGACAGAAAGGTGAAAAAGAGAATTCTGAGCTTAAGATATACACAATATTACATTCAAATAAAGTCCTCTAAGAATTCGTCATTGTTTGACAGAGTCTTTATTTGTTATTAGCACATAAATTAAATCAGTGCTTAGCTTGTTAAAATCCTGCTGAAATAAAGGCAATAATAGCATACAAAATCTTGTAGTCTTGTAACCCATGGAAAAATATATACCAGAGTACATTTAGAAATGGTAGCACAAGGCTTGGAGAACAAAAAAGCAACAAAAGAAAAACTATAGCAGCTGCATGCTTCAAAATCAGGTTTTTCCTGTTTTTTTTTTTACTTTGTTACTTCTAAATTAATCAGAACAATGAGCTACAAATACATGCAAATATGACAGCAAAAAACCAACTACTTAAGACTCAGAAACAATTATTAGCAGAAGCTCTTAAAGCACAAGATAAAAATACTTTGAATAGAGGCACATCCATTCTCTCTATATACTGCAAAAACCTGCCAATATTTTATAATCTAATCACTTTTATCACATGCATAAAAGAAATGAATCGATATATTCCTGCAATTCAGCATGAACTTGCATTTCTCTCTCCTGCTGTGTAAAGAACAAAGGTTTCTGGCCACTGCCAGCTGCTGTGACCAGAAGTGTTAAAGGGCATGTCCCTGACTGGCACAGTTACTGCTGGCTGGGGTGAGGGCATCGCCTGCACCCTGCCTGTGCTTGCACCAGCCACGTCCACACCTGCTGGGAAACCTGGAAACCAGGGGCAGGTGTTCCTGGGCTCAGGCTGAGAGGAAAACATTGAATTCCTTACTAATCCAGCTCCTCACATTGTCGAAGGAAGGGGACCAGGACACCAGTTGGTTCATCACAGGCTTTTCAGGTCCGGTCCGCTCCCGGTCCCTCAGGTCTTTCTGGTCCAGTTTATTGAAGAAAGTATCAAACACTTATACAGCAAATAATAAGCTAATGAATATTCTGTAAGCCAAGCAACCTATTGGTTAAACTATACCATGAACTCTTCCTCATTCCTTAGGGGTTGTGGGATCTCAGCACCTCAGGACTGAGGTGCCGAGTCACTTAGACTACCCTTGGGGGGCTCGGGAGTCCTGGAATGTTGCCAGAAGTGTCTGGTGGCTGGACTTTGATCCTACACAGGAGACGACACCTGTATGAGGATAGGAGG